AACAAATGGAAAACGACACTTAAAACTATAGTTCGAAGCTTTCTCCCACATCCAGGGATTGCTCGCGTTGTCTCCTTCAGTTCCACCACCAGTAAACTAGTCCACCAGTAAGACCAGTAGAGCAGCAAAATAAAAACAAAGTCAACAAAGTAGAACAGAGCTAAGCTTAAAAATTTAACTATTACTCCATTCCATTATCCAAACCGCTTATCCTATTCAGGGTGGCGGGGAGCTGGAACCGATCCCAGCTGACATTGGGCGAAGGCAGGGTAGACCATGGACAGGTCGCCAGTTTATCGCAGGGCACATATAGAGACAGATAATTCACGTTCACACCTACGGGCAATTTTGAGTCTCCAAATAACCTAAGCTGCATGTCTTTGGACTGTGGGAGGAAGCCGGAGAACCCGGAGGGCACCCACGCTGCTACGGGGAGAGCATGCAAACTCCACACAGGACCACCCGGGATCGGGGATCGGGGATCGAACCCGGGCCCCTCTTGCTGTGAGGTGCTAGCCACTACACCACCGTGCAGCCCCCATTTAACTACTATGTACAGTATAAATATATATCCCTACTTATGTTACCTTGCTTACGTATTTTACTTAGTTTAAGCCCAACCATGATGTTTTTTCCTTTTTAAACCTAAGCAAGTGGTTTTTTTGGAATTCACAACATTAAAGTGACGACCTTTCATTTTGTGTTGATTTTTGGCACTCCGTGTGAACAAAAGTGGTAGTGTTTCCGAGCACCAGATTCCCTTTTACAAAACCTCTCATTTACTGCAGCAGGGGTCTGACAGTCTGCTCCGCGCAGTCCTGGTTCTACAGCGAGCCCAACAATATGGGCTGGGTCTCCAGCAGCGTGGTGTTGGCTCCCCGTGGGGACCGACCCGTTGAGTGGCGAGGAGAAGCTCTGGGGGAGGATAGACACTCCGTATTATGAGGGCTTATGTGAGAACCACTGTGCAGTAGATGTTTAGGCATCAAAGTGAGTTACAGTATGTTGTGGTCTAACAATGTGACTTTCACTGCAGCACTGGCCATGAATCCAAGTCAGTATTCTGATTTGACCTCCATTGGCTGACACTGACCGCCCTGAGGAGGAGATGGTCATTGTCAGATGGAAACTTTCAGGAAATAACAATGGACTTGGGCTGGCAGAAAACATCTTGAGGGCTGGTACTGACTCCCAGCCAGCAATGCAAGACTTGTTGGGCCTTCTTTCCTCTTTTGTTGGAGCTCTGTTGCATGTTGAGGTTATTGAGTTCAAGCCGCCAGGGGTGGATGAGTTCGTGTTAAGATGCTGAAGGCTCTGGACATTGTTGGGCTGTCTTGGCTGACGCGTCTCTTTAGTGTCGCCTGGAGGCCTGGGACAGTGCCTCTGGAGTGGCAGAGGTGGTTCCCATTTTTGCATGTGTTTTGTGGGCTTGGAGAAGGCCTACGGACGTGCCTCTCAGGAAGCCCTGTCGGGGGGTACTGCGGGAATACGAGGTACCTGGGTCGATGCTACGAGCCATCCGGTCTTGACCAAAGTGAGAGCTGTCTGCGAATATCATCTCTCTATCAACTGAACAAATCATCAACATCTTCAAACAAATTGGTGTTTTGTGACAATGTTGTAACCGCATTTCAGCCAGTTGAAAAGACTGCGACAATAGGTCTTGACGTTCAGAACGTTATCACCGGAATCAACGTTTATATCCCGGTTGGTGCTCACTGAGTTTTAGACATCAATAACTATAACTGTGAAAGAGTGAATGAGGAAATGGCCACCATGTCTTCAACCTGGAGCAGCTTCATTGAAATGCAATATGTGACAAAACACGGCTTTTGTCTCAGTTCTTGTCTTTTTCGTTTGTTTTTCAGGCAGAACGATTCATTCCTCAGTAATGAGGCTTCTCTGTGGGCCTGCTGAATAGCCCCGGGCTTGCTATCAATCTGACTGTCTTGACAACCATTGCCATTATAACTGTTTAAACTCTTTGTCAGCCTCGTTATCATAATCGTCAGTGAGCGAACTGAATGAAACAGACGTCCTTTGTTTACATTTGCAATTTCCCCGATCATAACGCAACTTTGGGACTCGTGCAAAGAAACACTCGCACTGGAAAATTATGACTTTTCTCTTAATATTGTCCACAGAGTTGCGTCCATAAAAGCTACATGACTGAGCCGGGCTGGATTAACTTTGAACAAGAGCGGTCTCCTACCAGTTCCGAGCAGTTCTGGCAAAGTAGAGAAAGTCATGTAATTTTCCCCGGGCGCCTGTCATTGGCAGGCCACTGCTCCCTATATACAGGGATAGGTCAAATGCAGAGACAAATTTCCCCCTTAAAGGGATCAATATATTATAATAAATTTAAAAAATAATAATAAAAAAATTAATTCAAGAACTGTAAAATAGCACCCAAACATGACGTCATCGTCCAATCAGAGTTGTTGTGGAATATTTCTTATGACTAGTCGGGAGAAGAAAGTGAAGGTTTTCTATCAATATAAAGTAAACAGAGTTTTGATGAACGATCAAGGTTTGTAAAGTCAATTTATTTGCTTGCAAGCAAAGAGAACAGTCTCACAGACGCATTGCAGTCATCTGTAAGAGTGGTCTGCCTAATCAGTCACAATGCATGGACATTTATGCTCAGACAGCTTCCTGTTATCTGCTTAGCTAACAAGAATACACAAAGAACACAATAAAAGGCAGGTCATCCTTCAAGCCTTAGTATACTTCATTTAAGACAACATGAAGGTGCTTTATCTCCTGTTTGCAAATCCCTTTGTTCACAGTTTGCCTTACAATAAACCGTTTAAACACACAGCAGATGCTTCCTTTTAGGCCATTGTGACATTGTTACAATGACTATTGCAGAGACAGAATAGACATTCTTTACCCTCACACATCATATATGCATGCAAAGGTTTACGCCTTTACAACTTCAGATAATGCATCATAAAGGAAGTAAAAGTATTTCAAACAGAGGATCTCTGTTAGTCAAGGTCTCTCTGTGTCTCTGTCTTACGAAGAAGAAAGAAACAGTGCACAATGATAACAGATAACAAGACACCTGGATACTAAACTAATTAAAGTCATCTACTGAAACTACAGTTTGGTGTCTGCTCTTTTAGGACTTACATTCTTTAAACCTTCACATGAGACTATGACATATTTTGTGATATCCGGTTTATCCCAAGACGAGGATTGTAACCAATTAGATGTAGAGATACAATGGCGACTGGGTCCGCCCACTTACTGTCAAAAAGGAAAACTGCGAGCGAGCGAGCAGGAAAAAGCCTCGCGAGCGAGCGGGTTGAAGCTTCGCGAGCGACTTTCGCTCGCGCGAGAGTGAATTCTGCTCACGGAGTGACGTAAAAGCGCTCGTCAAAGTAAAATACGCGCGCGGCTGTATGATTTTCGCGCGCGCATGGATCTCATTTGCGCTCTCGGATTTTGACAGTGATTTGCCTTCATAGTGTACACTGTTTTGCTGCGCAGATAGCACATTTCAATTGATTTAGCTAATCCGGCACAACTGTTAGCATGTTTACAACAAGCTGTCTGACCTCTCGTGTTTCTGGCCCCATCTTTATTTTTGCTAGGATATTGCACTGTTTCTACTTTGCAGCCTTTGCTTTGGGGAGTTCAATGTTATCGTAACCTCAAATTATGGCCCAAACTACAAAAATAAGATGACAAGTCGCAAAACACAGTTATCCTTCAAGCAAGTACCTGCAGACCAGGGGCGTTTCTAGGATTCAAAGAAAGGGGGGGGCTTATCCCAAGGGGAATGGCATGTTTGCGCAATGGCAATTTTTTTTGGGGACCATTTGGGGCCGTGGATATCCACTGTTTCAGACAGTTTATAGATTGGTTCAATCAGAAAGAGTGTGATTTTGCTCTATAGTTTTGCTTGCATTCAGTATATGATGACAAGAGACAGAATTTGAGGGTCATAATGAAATTTGACAACACAAATATGAACTTTTCTCAAATAAAGTATATCCGCGTCACTCCCAAATCCTAATTCTTAAAGGGACCACACACAATGGATGGAGAATGGACCTGACAGTGTCAACTTTATATCGGTAAGTATGATGATAGGCTGTTGGATTGTAATTTGAAGGGGGAGAAATCATACAAACCAGAACGCACGCACATATGTAGCATGTTAGAGTTATAAATAACTTGTCCATGTGAGAAACAATAGTTTAATTTAACGACATCACCAAAATAAAAAATAAAAATATATATACAGTATATTTTTTTTAAAGCCAATAATGCCAAATTATTTGGGGGGGCTGAAGAACATTTTAGGGGGGCTTCAGCCCCCCTAAAATAGGCCTAACGACGCCCCTGCTGCAGACACTCACCCGTTCACTTGGAAAAAGGCCACGATACGCTCATTTCTTGATGTGCATTCATGTCGAGGTTGTGAACCGAGGAAGGAGAATGTGCTAATATTGATTTTTTTAGTTTTTTTCTAATTAGATACTCATTATGTATTAAAAGTCTCTTAGCAAGCATTCTCAAACAAAGGAGACTTTACAAATCAAACTACATCTGTGTAATTTAAATGTAAATACAGCTAATGTCGAAGCAGTTTTCTTTAAACGGACAGTGTCACTATGATGATATTTAATTAATGAGTGAGACTTGTTTGGGGACTATTTGGCCTTCTTTTCTCTTTTCTTGAAGCTTTGTTGTATGCTCTTTATATCTGATATGCGTCTGATTTTTAAAAATTGTTTGGTTTTTAAGGACTTTGCAGGTATGCCAGGTTTTCACCGCTGGAAAATCCACAGGCATGAGTAATGTTTTGTAATATTAGACTGGACAAACAGTTCGTGAAATATATGTAGATGTATGTAATCATCACACTATAATATAGGTAGCTGTTTGATCTGCAATGCCTGAGCTTAAAACATTTTCGTAAAAATAAAAAAGTTATGAAGTACACTATATTATTTCAGGCAAAATGCATGACCACCAAACAAGCAATGTCAATTTGGAATGACTTTATTTGTTAAGCAATGTCATGCTTTATGCATATTTTAAAGCTGCTATATGCATAATTTCAACATTTCTGACGTTGGTGCCCCGCAGTGGTAGCATCAGACAAGACACTCCATCAGAGAACAATGGCAGTGACCCTGGTTCACTGAATGGGCCCGAGGCACTGGAAGCTACACAGGCGTTTACCTGGAGTGTCTCATTTTTCTACAAAGCAAAGTGTATGCTATCGGGATAGACTGAAAGAAGCTTTAATCACTTAACAATCAAACTGTTAGTAAGGTTCAATTTCTTCACATTTTGACAAAATGCATACATTGCAAAAAATACCAGAGGAGTTAAATAATACATAGATCAGACATAACTTAAATGTTCTGTTTAATATTCACAACATGTTTCACAAAATATGCTGCCAAAATGATAAATACTCAAAAGTCTTCCTTTCTCAAAGTTAACCATGAATCAGTAGACAAACATATTGACCTTTACGCAAGCCTATACGCACTTACAGGACTGGTTTCATGGATGGAGGATCAGATTGGAAGCTAGCGAAATGGCCAATTTTCACTTTGGTTGTTTTAATTTAGTAATTGTAATTTGTAGTAACCTAAAGGCTCCAGCCACTGATTTATCTCAAGCAATGAGATTATTGCTATCAGCGCTGTCTCCTCAGCTTTCAATGCATTCATTAACCCTAACCTCTACACACACACACACACACACATGCACAGACATACCATCACGTTCCTCTTCTGGCTGATAAGAAAAAACATAAATGTGAAATACATATCTATCTATACATAGATATGTATATCTATACATATATATATATACACAACAAAAAGCACCCCAGTTGCTAAATGGTGGAACATGAAGTGCAAACACTATAGTAAAATAATTGAAAACGCACCAGACAAGGAGTAACTCCTGTAACTCCAACATTATTTTAAATATGATGAGATAGGGTGTTATAATAAAATGCTGCTGAGATTATGAAATCCTATTTCATGTTGTTAGTATTGTGTATGTGTATATATATATATACACTGTATATATATATAAAATACAATATTGAACACAAAGAGTGTAGGACTTCTATTCACCTATCCAGAATAACTGTTTCACATCAACTACAGATTGTTTTCACAGTTTATGAAAAATTGGTTAAAATACTGTGAATCAGTTTGTATTGTTATCACATTTTAGTACTAGATATGGTTCAGCATATCAAGCTCGCTAACTCCCTAAGGCTCACAGATCTTCTAATACAGCAAAGAAATATAAAATCTCTGGGCAGCTCGACTAAAGATGCATTTCAAAAATTCATCACAATCAAACTTTATGCACACAATATAAAAAAACAAATAACTGAGCTACCAAAAAACAGCAGTGCTTTTTCTTGTTTTTGGTCCACTGCCCAGAGAACTTCCTGTGCTGCTCTGTCTGACGGTCAGCTGCAAATGGCTAACTGAGTAGAGGACTGATGAGTGGAGAGTTAAAAGTGACGATAATTAAAAAAAAAAAAAAAAGCCTTGAGCACTTTGGATAGTTGGACTTGATTGACGTAAACAGACGTTATAAACTGAGACATTGATGCTGTACTGTTTTTTTGGTTTGGATTTTTATGGATTCATACTCAGTATAGTGAACTAGTGTAACACAGAAGCTGCACGCACTTTTAAAGACTCCCAGAAGGGCCAGTCAGTCAGGTCTTACATGTCCTGGTTGGTAAAGCCAGTGTTGGCAGTGTGTATCACATCATACATTTTTTTCCATGCATAGGAAGAAAAAAAAAACATAACAACATCGGTGTCAGGCTTAACAGCCGGCATACTTTACAAGTGTCGCTGCGATCCAAAAAGCTCTGGCAAATTTGCTGTGGTTCATTCAAATCCTGCAGAAGTTGGTCCACAAGAGTAGCTCAGTCAACTTGTCTCTATACTGTCCCATTACAACAGTCCCAATACAGTGTTGAGCTGATCCACCTGGGATCCAGATACTTTCTTACATGCACACAGACGTTTACATTCAAGGGCAAGCAGAGGCGACGTCGTGAGCGGGGCCCTTAAAGCTGCGTATGGTCTTCACCGCTGTCGCAATTCAGAATTGCATCGTCCGAATGTTTGTCCATCTGCATGGCACAGGTAGAGAGAAACGAGTGTCAGTCCGTTATCGATGTCTACAGCAACGCTAACAACATGCTGATGAGTTGGCAAGTAACTTTTCTGCATATTCACAGGCTGTATAGAGTCAATAAGACACAATTAATGACTTAATAACAAACAATAATGATCACTGCATGCAGAAACAAACTCAAAGATTCAATCGTCAAAGACTGATATAATAATAAAAAACTTTTTTAAAAACTCCAAAGTGATTCTCATGTTGCTGTCTGCTGAATGTGTCAAGAGTTGAGATATCATGCATCCATGCTCACAATCACCTTGATTAAATGTGTGTTCTCCGCATCCTTGTCTAGAGATGCCGGCGGTGCGTCTGGCTGAAAGAGAGTGTAGAACATACCCATCAATTCAAGTCCGATGGCACAGGGTCGTCGGTTCAAATGATCCCTGATGGAAAGCCAGGTTTGGATCACACAACTGACCCGCCGCACATTACTGGTCATTACTCACAAAAGGCTACAAGTTAAAAACATTAAACACAGATACAAAATGAAACGCAGAGAAAAGGAGATTAAGGGGATTAGATTTTGAAAAGTGTTCCTTCGTCTGTTAATAATTAAAGGTATAATATGTAACTGAATACGACTACAGCATCACGGAAACACAGATTTCTTTTAAACATTAAACGGCTTCATTCAGCCTTTCTACCAGGTTTAATCACCTGGTCCATTTGTTTTGGAGGAAGAGAAAAAAAAAAAGCCTCCTGAACGATGAACACTGCAATGACGGCAATGTTGGTGACCGCAACATCTCCCATGATCTCACGCTACTTCGCGGCGTCACCTAACTCCGTCTTTTATTGCTTTGATTGAAAATAGCGTCAGAAATGTAATATTGTGCAGTTGTTTAATTGCAGTTCAGTTGTTATGTTTTTGGTCTGGCGGTTTCATCTCTACACCTCGCATTTAGACAAATGTCAAAACATATATAAAGAAAAATGGTGATCAAGTGAAGAGCAGAGCTGTAAATCGTCAGTAAGAATAGCATGGCCGAAACAGCAAAAGTGGGTCTAGTATATAGCAACAACTGGGAGTAAGTAAGTCGTCCTTGACTCCTAAGAACAGGAAAACAGAGTGTGTTTGGTTGGAAAAGAGCACACACAGAATATTTTCATCCATAGGGGCAACAATACCTCTTTCTTTGGAGGGTCAGCTGTTAAGTTCCCATTGCACATGTGGATTAAACTCTGAAAAAGAAACGACACATTGAATCACTTTCATGCTGCTGGAGCACACTTGAATATCCTCGGCTGTTATGCTGACAGTACCGAGTGCATCCTGTCCCGCATCCTGTCCCGCATCCACTGGTGGCGCATGTAGAGGTAACCAGCCAGTGGCACGATCACGTGCAAGACCAGAGACAGCCCTAACAACATCTTCAGCTTATCTGGTTGAGGAGAGATCAGGGAGAATGATTAGGAGAAAAAAATGTAACTTTTATCTTTGTGTGCTTTCCACATTTGACATTTATCAAACTGCGCTATGAGAAAACAATTAGGCAGATTTCAGTAAACGATAATGCCGTTTTTACATTGCCGAGCTAACACTGTGCCAGTGACCAAAAATGAGACCATTATTTTACAAATTAGACTCGCAGTTACAACTCTGGGTATGCGGTCCAACACGCAACCCATTCATCACCATTCATTTTGAATTTATGATACAAAATACCAAATGTCTATGGAGTTTTATTCACTGGACCACAAATCAATATTATTTAAACTACACACATGGAATATGGTAGGACAATGAAAATCAAAAAACCTGGAAACATTTGATTTCTTGGTGGAAAAGGTTCACTAAGCGCTCATTTGCTGTGATTTAACTCAACTTATCAGGTAAGTTCTGCTTCCAGAGCAGCAACGTCTCTCTGAAATACTTCTATCTAACAAAATGTGGAAATGTTATTGAAGTGTTTTTAGGTTCTGTTTGTTGTCATACGAAGGTAGGCTAAGACTTTTACAACCTTGCATAACCTTAATTGAAACTAAACGACTCCAGACAAATAGAGGTGTGAAATACATCTATTAAAACTATTTTCAACGTCAATTTTCTGAGTGGGTATTGTCTACGGAAAGATTAAAAAAAATAACATTAGTACCAATGCTAACTTTCAGACGGACTCTGCCTATATCTTAACTAACATGAACTACGCCAGTCAAATGATGCCATCTGCTTTTTGCTTTTCATCAAATACAAAAGCAGTAAAAATCCCAGTGTGACGATGGGCAGTTTCTCTCTAGAGAATATATTTGGGCTTCAGACTGTCAGAGATTTCATCCCGTTTGAAGACAAAATGTTTTGTGACATTTTACAGACTAAACTCTCTGACATCGACAAATTTGAATTAAGGGAATAAGCTTACCTGTTTCTTTCTGTGTCTCTTTTAGATTTTTTCGGAGTCTAAGAGTTTCAGATTCTATGGAAAGATGAAAAAAAAACACCTATCATTACAATTGTAAACTTGCAGTGTAAAACAAGAATAACACCAGCATTATTCAAAAATGCAGAAAGTCCAAGAGTAAAAAAAGATATATCAAAGCAAGGGACTTGTTCCAGAAGAGCATTGAAACAAGAAAACGATTATTATTCTTTTAAAAATTATTATTGTGAAAAATCACAAGAAGAAAGCAATCTCGCTTAGTGAACGGTTCGGCATTCTCACAAAAAGCACCCAGCTTTTGTGTATGCTCACAGCTTTGGATGCACGACGCGCACATACAGTAGTGCGTAAATAAAGGTAAACGGTTATGTAGTGAAAGAATATTTTCCATGGCCAGGGTATAAGTAGCTATTACTTAATCATATGAAGTGCCATTTACATAGCTTACCACTGTTTCCAACTTGTGGGAATGACGATTCTGGTGGCAGTTTTGTTGCTGTTGGCTTCAATGTTGCTGCTGTTGCTGGTGAGGGCAATACTGTTGTTGTTGCTGTTTCTGGCAGTGTTGTTGTCAGTGTTGTTGTTGTCGGTGTTGTTGACGGTGTTGTTGTTGACGGTGTTGTTGTTGGTGTTGTTATTGTTGTTGTCGCCGTTGTCAGATCGGAAGCTGCAGAAATGTAGTCAGTCACTCAGTAATACAATCTTACAATACGGGGTTTGTAGGCAATAAATGCAATATAACTTTGAGTATATCAATAAGAAGAATGTTTGTAGCAGTAGTGGTAGACTTGGTCAAAGTAAAGGTAGTATTTAAATGTACAGGTAGCCGTGACTGGATACCCCCAAAAAATTGACTGGTAAGCAATTTAGTGCAGGAGACATTCTGTGAAGTTCAGCAATAGATGAGTTTTTTTTATCTACCTGGCCTGTCATTGTGAGCATGTTGGCGTGCTGATGTTAGCATTTAGCTCAAAGCAATGCTCTGCCTAACGCCTCATTTACACTGCATGGTTCGACTCACTTTTGGTCCCAGTTCTTTTCTCTTTTTCATTTTCCACTGAGGACAGTACCCCCTCAGTGTAGGTGGGATTCTCAACTGATGTGAATCTGCAGTGGCATCATATTAAGCACAACACTTATTGAATCCTTTCATTGGCTAGTGTACATCAAAGTGTTCACGGTAGCGTACATTGTAGTGTACGGTCTAGTGTACGCCAAAGTGTCCAAAATGTACGCCGTAGTGTCTGTAGTGTACGTAGCGTACGCAGTAGTGTCTGTAGTGTG